CCCCCCCCCCCCCCCCCCCCCCCCCCCCCCCCCCCCACTTTCTCTTTCTTTCCCTCTTTCTTACCCTCTATTTCTCACTCTGGCCCTTTCGTCCCCCTTGTCTTCTCTCCCTCTCTTCCTCCCCCTCTCTCCCTACCCTCACCCCCTACATTCATTCTCTCCCTTATCATAGATACTATTATTTGAACAAGGGCAGCACCTTGGCTCAGACTTGGGGTCTTCTGGGAGCAAGAGGAAAGTGCTGTGTGCCTTCTTTCATGATAGGCATGCCATAATGATATCTTGTTCACCTTGGCTCCTCTGTGAACTTCCTCAGCTCAGAGATAGGCATAGTTGCTCTCTGCAGCAAAAAGAGCAGAGGGGAAGCTTACAGTGCTGATGACTTGATTTGTTTGTACAGGAACCAACGCTCTTCCCAAAAGAATGTGTCTACATCCATGATCCACAAGGCCTGAATGTCCTGAAGAAGGGGTGCGCCAGGTACTGCAATCAAACTGTCACGGTGAGTGTGATGGAAGACCACATTCCCTTTGAAAGGAGCCCAGCTTTGCCCTTCCTCTTTCATCAGGAAGAGCTCTGACTCCTTGAGCTGAGAGGGCTGGATGGGAGCAAAAAGGAAGCTGTCCCATGCAAATGGCTGTCCCGAGGACCATCACATGAACTGGCTACCTGCTTTTTCTTTGGAAAACAGAGAGAGCACAGGGTAGCAACCTGCTGCAAATGTTAGAAAGCAGGTCAGTTGAACCTGAGTACAGTAAATAAATAAAATAAAGCACACCAGTTGCAACCAACCAAGCTGGAGGAAGCCATGAGACAAATGATGCAGTGTTAGCCGTGGCATGTTTTCTCTGAGAGTGCCCTGGGTTTAGCATTTCACCCAAAGGAAGCTGAGCACAGGGAAAGTGCTGTAAGCTGTGAAGTGATAGCATCCTGTTTATGAAGGGTTGTCAGATGGTTCAGGAAAGTCGATCTTAGCAAGTTTATGGACCTCACGTTTGTTTGCAGCTCCTGAGCTCTCACAGTGCTAACTATATGGAATGATTTGTGGATGTCACATTGAATACTGCTGATTGTTTGTCTTGTGATTGTTCTTCTATTAGTCAGTTGTAACCTGCGATCCAGGACTGCTCCATCCCTCCAAAGGAACACAGTCCTCAGCAAGGATAAAGTAGGAGTGAGTGGGCCAGCTATTAAAGAAATAAAAGCTCACAGAAAACATGGACCCTATTTGTTGAAGTCTGAGAGCAGAAAATAGTGATCTATTCTGAGAAGAACAGGCTGTGAGCAGAAAGAGGGGTATTGTTGAAAAATAATTTAAGTGCAGGAGGATGCCAAATGAGACAGTCCATTTCAGTCCATGGCAGAGAGGAGGACTAGGATTTCAGAATTATGAGGGCAGGATGACTCCAGGCAATTCTTGATAAGTCACGTCATACCTTACCAATTTTGCTTTTGTTTCAGAAACCTGGATGCTGCAAAGGATTCTTTGGTCCAGACTGCATGCCATGCCCAGGGGGATATTCCAATCCATGCTATGGCCGGGGGAATGTAAGTACAAAAGATCCTGCTGTGTTGCAATGAACAGTTGAAACAGTGTGGTTAGAAAGTGTAGTTGTGGATAAGTACAATTCAGAGTTTGTGCTTCAGGCCTAAGCCCACAGCGGTGGTAGCAGAAGATCCAGGGAGAATGGCACATACTCAGTGAGTTTTCCATCTCAAGCTCTAATGTGAACCATGTCATGGCTCTTGGGGACAGCTCTGGCTATGTGGGATTTTGTATTACTACCACCACTCTTCAAAGTCCTATTTTTTACTGCAAGTATCAAAGTGCCTTTGGTAGATATCAAAGCCTTGGCTTTGCCTTGGTTCCCTGAGTTTCAATCACGTTGGTTTTCTTTTTGTTTTCCTTACAGTGCAGCGATGGCATACAAGGGAGTGGCAACTGTCAGTGCTTTGAAGGCTTCAAAGGAATAGCCTGCCACATCTGTTCAAACCCAAACAAGCATGGCGAGAACTGTGACGAAGGTTGGTAATTCTGGTAGAGAGAGGAGAGGAAAATGTAGGGCAAGGATATAGTGCAAGTTCATAGTGGATTCCCTTCTGGCAAGATCAGTGTCACAAAAGAAGTGACAGAAATGTCATCATGGGTGTCCCTTCAAGCAACAGTGGAGAAAACA